ATGTTAAAAAGTAAAGTGGCCTCAACTTGGATAGGATATGAGGAGTGAAAAAAGCAAAGAATCCAGGATACTGTCTTAGCTTGGGTTACCTGGGAAATAAAGCGTGAAGCCTAAGTATACAAGGTGACCCTCTGTGGAGGGTAGGATTCAAAGGAGGCAAGAGTAAGGGGAAAAAAAAAGAAAAGTGAGGCAGGAAAGAGGGAGAATAAATACAAGGCATATGCTAAGCTGGCAAAAGCTTCAAGAACAAACAGAGATGATTGCTAATCTTGTAGAACTTCTTCAGAGACAGTGTGAAACCTCTTTGTATTGGAAACAGTCCAGTGGGGAAAGGAAGAAAAATTTATCTGCAGCCTCTCTCCCCATAGCCTGTCTGCCATCAGTCAAAGTTGGCCCCACAAGGCTTTAACCCACTCAACATTTCTGGGTGGGTGACCCTGTCCCTCTAGAGCACCTCTAGGTCCAACCTAGCCAGTGTCAAGGTATGATGGTCTTTCATTATCAGTTAGCAGCATTCGTGGGGGCTCTCTGGCCTGTGATGACAGCAGCAGCTACCAGCACTTCATGGTAATAATAATATTTGTCATAACCTACAATGGAAAATAATCTGAAATATATATGTGTGCATATCTGAATCACTTTGCTATACACCTGACACTAACACAATATTGCAAATCAACTGTACTTCACTTAAAAAAAAAACATTGAAAAAAATGTCATGCGCTGTCTCAAGGGCAGGCGTCTGGAGGTGAGTGGGGCTGACTGGCTCTGGACTGGCCCATTAAAGCGGCAGAGATGACTCCTGGCTTTTGGACTTAAGCAACTGTGTCAATGGTGGCACCTTTTATTACTGACATGGGCAAGACTGGAAAGGGCCAGATGCTGGGGAGAAAAATCAGGAGTTCTGCTCAGCACATGTTAAGTTTGAGAAACTCATTGGACACCCAAGTGGGTATAAAGCAAGCATGGGAGACTTAAGAGTCTGTAAATGAGGTGGGAGGACACCACTGCAGGCACACATTTGGCAGCCACTGGCACAGATATAGTACTGAAAGCAAGCGACTTTGTATGTTTAAGAAGGGCAAGAATGTATATGGAAAAGGGAGAAAGTATTGTCTAAATACTGTGGCCTACCAATATGTAGAAAGTGAGCAAAAGAAAAGAGTAAGCAAGGAAGATGGACAGGCAGTGGACACTGACACAAAGGGAAACACATGAGAGTGTGGTGCTGCAGACTGGAGCGGCGTACTGAGGAAGAGCGCTCAGCTGTGTTGAGGACGTGACGAGGTGTACGGTAAGTAAGAACCAAGACACGATGACTGGATTCCACAACATGGAGGTCACTGATAACCTTTTCAAGAGTGGTTTCGGTGAACGAGTGGGGACAGAGGCTGACTAGAATGGACTGAAAGGATGATGATTCATCAAGAAATGGAGTTTGTGGTGAAGGGAAAGCAGAGAAATGGTAGGGTGAGTGGAGTCAAGGGAAGGTTTTTAAATGGATCCTATTAGGGTGTGTTTGTATACCAGTGAGGGGGGCTAAAAGAGACGGGGAGGGGCAGTTCAGGAGTAGGGGATTAAGAGGTACAAATTATTCTGTATAAAGTAAGCTACAAGGATATATTGTAGAACACAGGGAATATAGCCAATATTTTATAAGTGGATATAACCTTCAGAAATTGTGAATCACTATACAGCACAACTGTTAATTTATATAATACTGTACATCAACTATAATGCCATTAAAAAAAAGAGTAAAAAAAACATAGAGAAAGAACAGGTGACATCAAAATGGAAGGGGATCTTAGGAACAATATTCCTGAAAAGGCAAGGAGGGGTGAGGCCTAGGCAGGAGTGGAGGGATGAGCCTTTGGTAAAAGCAGGGGCCTTCATTACCACAGAGTGAGGGCAGACGGCTTTCATGCAGACACACTCAGACTGAAAGACGTGGTAGTGAGAAAATAAAGGCATTCTACACTGACTGCATCTATCCTCTTCCACGGAATGTGAGGCGAGATCATTGTCATTAAACATATCCAGGCTGGCACTCAACAGAACATGTTTCACATGGCCAGATCACCCTCAAGTTCACTTTGGTAGGTATGCTTTTCCAGACAAGAGACAAAATTCATGTTATTAATTCTAATTATGTTCCTGCTTCACACACATACACACTAACTCTCACAGAGAAAAAAAAAATTAGATCATTTAGCTGCACAACCAATTATCACCATCTAGTGGTTGAAACCTTAAAAGCCAATATATCAAAGTTGGGACCCACACGGTAATTCTTGAAAAAACATATCCCATTAGCAATAATTCTAGAAAAAGATATCTGATCAAAATACTTATTAAAAACTTTAATACTGTATGAAATATACCAATCACATATAAAATCTTAAAATAAATTACCTAAACTACATTTATCGTGTGCCTACTAGGTGTCAGGTGGCATGCTGAGCTCTTTTCCATGGACTTGTTCTTTAACCCACCAATAGTCTGAGGTAAGTATCAGCATTTCACATATAAGGAAACTAGAAACTGACACGTAAAAGGTTAAGAATCTGCCCAAAGTTTACACAGATAGAAATTATAAAGCTAGGATCTAACTAGACTTAAAATGACTTCAACACCCTCACTCATAACCACTAGACTCATTATATTGTCTCTGTAAGGGCTTGGGTAGAAAAGTAAACCAGTCTTTTGTTGCAAAAAAATCATGAATACTACAAGGCACAACTTCAGAATTTAAAAACCATTCCACTGCAAACCAAATTTTTCTCAGAGTAGTTACAGTTAGTTACTAGTGAAGTAAACCAGACAGCAGGAGACTCTGTGATGCTTAAGAATCGGGCCTCCTTCAGAGAAAGTATGCAATTAACACACTTGGATCATGCTCTATTCAGTGTGTTCAGACAACTCTCTTAAAGTGCTAAATAAAACTAAATGAGAAAATCTTGAGGGTAAAAAAAAGAAACTCACAAGGAGGCAAAAGACTGTATCCCAGGAAGTAGAAGTAGCTCCCTCCTTTTATCAACCTCCCTCCCTCCTTCTCCAGCAATTCCTCCAGAGGCATCCCTACTTCTCTACAGTCTAAGGATTATTCCTCATTCCAAGTTCAAAGCTGCCCCATATTTTGTTACTTAATCCTTACCATCATAGCTTGTGGGGAAAGGAATGAGACTCAGAAAAGAGCAATAATTCTCAAGTGTCATATTCTCATGCAGGTGAAGAGTACGAAAATTCTATTCCCAAAGGCTCTTGGTGGTTGGGAGATGAAATAAAAAAGGTACTCAGAATTCTATGTTCTAATCTGGAGTCTAAAACTGTATATTCCTATAGATACAATGCAATATATGGTAGTTAATACACAAAAACCTATCTAACTATAATATAGCAAAACATAGCAGCCTTATAAATATCAGGTAACTACTGAGGGCCTGGTAGGTGCTGCAAATTGTTTTAAGAGCTGTAGACAGAGTACAAAGTCTATCTAGACAAAACCCCTACTGTCCTGGAGCTTACAGTTCCATACAGGAGAGACAAACACAAACAAATAACTAAGTAAGTGCGTAAGGTAACTTCAAACGGGAGACATACTAAAATCTTAAAGCCACTACAATGGAGAAAGAGGGAGCACAGGGGTGCTTTCAACTGGATGGTCTGGGAGGGAGGGGCTCCCTGAGAAGAGGACACATGAGCAGAGAGCTGAAGGACAAGACGACAGCATCAGAAAGCAGGAAACTAGAGCTTTTCAGACAGAGTCATCAGACAAAGTTGTATTAAGAACTGTGTTCAAAAACATAAGGAAAGCCAACGTGGTTAAAAATGCAGCAAAAATGACGGTGGGGTAAGGTGAAGTTGATCTGGAAGACAGGGACTGAGTTGTATCTTTTTTTATTTAACTTCACTATTCTTCCTTACGTTATTTTCTAGTCCTCATCTTACTTTCAATCAAGTTTAATACTCTGTTAGATATTTTTAAACTATTATTTCTATTTATTTTTGGCTTAGAGTAGCCAGAAGACTAATTTCTATCAGATTCCTTTAATTCTGTTTAGTTATCTTCTAAAGCTGTGTATACATTACTCCAAAACAAATGCTAAAGAGCTAAAAAACTTAATCATCTCACAGTGTTCTCCATTCAAAATAAAGCAACCATCCAGCTGATTTCAGTGAAATCACTCAATGTTTTGACATGGAGGCAAAAAAAAAACAAGAGTGATTTTGTTTTTCCACAAAGTTGCTATCTCTCATCTACCACAGGAAATTTCAGAGGGAATCCCATGGCAATAACTGAATAGCTTTTCCCTCCCACACTAGTGTGGTTTAGAGAAAAAGAGAAAAACAACAAAGCCGATGAACCTTTAACAGGCATTTACAGGCATCTCTAAAGATGTTTTATGGACACTCTGAAAGTCATTTCATAGATGTGGAAAATTTATAGTTGGTTTTCTTCTAAGGCAGAATGGCCAATCTTGAAAAGTTCTGCGAGAGAAGAGTCTTTATGCCTAGAACACCACAAATGAGAATTCACAGCCTAACATTAGGCCATTAAGCTGTTAATTGTCCTTAGTTGTTATTTATTTTCTACCCTTACTCCCAATTTGAGGAGCTATTACAGTTTAAGCATCATGTTATGCTTTATATTAAAATACATTAATAAAAGATTACTCTCAGAATAAAAAATAATAACATGCCTAGAAACAAAAATGCTGGTTTCTCAACTTTGACTTAATTATGACAAAAATGATTAACAAGGAATCTTACAATCATCCTTACCGACTGAAAAAAAAAAAGAAGAAAAAAGAACACAGAAAAGGAAAAGAAGTGCTTCCATTTAGCACTATTTCTTGTAATTCCTCAAACTCTTCGACACCACACGGGAGACACCAGTCAAAGGCACATGGGCCAGACTTTAGATCTCTGGGTGATCTCAGGAATACTCTGCCCTATCAAAAACCAAAACTGTTCTCTATAAGAAAACTCTAAAAACATACCTTTTATTTTCTGCCAAATTGGCTCCCTCATCCTTCAACTGTTTACTTTTCTCAGCACAGCCTTCAAGGAGAATTTCCTTCCTCCGTTTAACAGCATGAAGCCAGTTCCCTTCATCATTTTCAACTGCATCCTTCTCATCAGCAGCTTCAGCTTCAAACTGCTGCGACGTGACCTTGGAGACCTTCTCGCCAATCTTCCTTTTCCATCCGAAGGAAGCCATTCTAGGAAATTACAAAGAAAGAGCTTTAAATTTCAAATTTGGCCCTTTATAGAAGTATTCCAACAAACAGGTAAAGAAGGGATACTAAATTATACTGTCACCATTTTTTTTAATTGATTGAAAGATTAAGACTGTTCCCATTTTTAGCCCCTAATTCAATAGTGGATCTAAATAATCATCGAAGGCTACTAACAACATAAAAAAAGACAGGTGTACGTTATGTATCTTCTGGTGGAGGTGACACAGCACCTGTGAAGTACTACTGCCAAAAGTTAATGTTACATCAG